CTGTGAGACGCATGTTGGGTGGTGGGTAGATGTGGTGGGTTACCTATTGTTGATTGGATTGGGGATGTGGGGATGTTGTTGGTGGTGTGGATATAAGTATGTATACTACATGTGTTCCCAAACAGCTCCAACCTTTCTTCCACCTCAACACCACACACATACCTTGCGCACCTCCAGCTTCCCTTTTCTTCCCTTCCCATCACCTCACCTCATCACCTCACCCACGCACACACAAGCCGGCGCATTTCCGCACACCACCCCCATCGTTTCGGCCCGTTCGCGTCCACTTTCCAAGGTTAGTCCGTACCTAGGTATATAGGCTGAATAGCCACGTCTAGCACCTGGGCAAAACCGCACATCACCACCTCCATCTGTCTCTACTGCTTACTGTGGGTACCTAGGTATTCGTTACGCGGACAAGAGCCGTGGCAATGACTTGCAGCTGTCAACGGTAGTTAGATGCGCCGGCATACCCGAGCATGGGAATGCAGGACAGTGATGAGGGAGGAAGCGTTTTGGGTGGGCGGAGGATGGGAGGACATGGTGACGATGATGTTGTACATACGCGTATTAGGTTTCGCGCCGTTGGAGTAGAGCGGTTTTAGTGTCGTGATAGATTGAATAGGTCGAGGATTGTAGCTTCGTTTCGCGTGTAGTTGCCGCCTGATGGCTTTTGGTAGCGGTTTGTCGCATGGATTTTCACCGCCTTCTTCCCTGTCCTGCATAGTGCTTCCGCGGTTGTTTTTCGGTCGCTCAGTTCTACCTTGTTAGCCTTGCACGTCACAATTCTGGCATGAGTGACGAGGCTGTACATGAGGTGTAGAGGACAAGTTGGAAGGGCCTTGTCATTTGTGGAGTGTGCGGTGTATGGATTGGTGTTATGGCGCCATCTCTGGTGTACTGTATTACCTCGACCTTTCTGATATGGTTCGGGTGCCAATCAGTTCTTGTTGTGATTTGCAGGACTACCTAGGTGGGAGGCTGAAAGGCTGAATCACATCTTGGCGCCGCTGGGCATCACATTGCGACTTTAGGTGCGGTGCGGTGAGTTGGGGCGGTGGGATGGGATGGAAGTGTCGTGCGATGGAGGTGTTGTTGCTGGCGTTGTTGGTGGTAGTGCCCAGGTGGTAGTGTGCAGAAACCACTGCCATGTGTGTATTGTCGGATCTGGTAACTGGGAATTATGAGGCTGGAGGAGAGTCCCGATATTTACCCGTAGCTGTGGCCCAAGGTGATCTGGGTTGGCGGTCAGTGCTCAGTGATACGAGAAGCCATGTCTGTCGTAGGCCTGTCCGTGTCAACTGTTATCGCTTCTGGTAGCTATTTACATCAGTCTTCGTGGCACTCATAAACTTCGAAATGTTGAAATCTGGTACTTGCACGCTACCTAATATTGACATTAGCGCAGATGTTTGATTCCATGCTGACATCAGGCTATTACGCCCTTGATCCCCCCTCTCTTTCTCTCTCTATCGTCATGTCTTTGCCTCTCTTCCCCCTTGGACGTTTTCTCATACGTCTCTTCTCGAAGAATCCCTCCTTTCCAGAAGTGCCCGGTCATGGCGGACTATCGCACCTCTCTAAAAACCGCAGCACTCAAGCTACACCCAGACACGTTAGCAAAGCGTCCCATGATCAACCCAACGTATCGCTCTCATTCATCCCCTCCAGGGCTCTCTAGTTCCGTCTTCTTCTTCGTCTCCTTCATCTTGAGTCGAGTAGAAAATACGTACACCGCAGCTAGTGCAAGGCGCAGGTGGGCAAACACAAGGCCCATTGAAGTTGGTGGAGCAGCACCCTGGGATTTGGCGTGGTAGCAGATCGCCTTCTGCCATCGCTTTGATGGAGCCGTCGGCTTGGAAGATGTCTATGGCGAAGGCGGTGCTTGCGCACAGGGCGGTTAGGATGGCGGTGAACTTCATGGTCGGTTCGGGATGGGCGGCTTGTGCGGATAGGTGTGGAGTTTTTGGGATGAGATGGCGATGGGGGTCGCGGTAGTGGTGGTGCATGTATTTATATTCACCGACCTACCTGTTGTACAACGACCTACGTACAACGTTTGTTACTGCTTACTGTACTCCGCTTCTCCCGACAAATTTCGTATCGCATCGTATATTACCACGTACCTATGTACATGAATGTTGATCCCCCTCTCTCTTTCCTTCGGCCCGTCGTCGTACGAGCTCGTCGCTAACCTGGGTAATATAGGCTGAATAGCAGCTGGGCGACTTGGACATCACCATTCTTCTTATCTCTACTGCCCCTCAACCATGGTGCTTCTCTTCTGCGCCTCGTGCATCCTGATCAAACATTCTTTCCGTCCGCGAAGCCAAGGTTTGGTTTATCGCGATGCTTTCTCGCCTGATACGCACATGCAGTTCTGGAATATCGGGTTGAATCGAAATGTCTTTCGTCATCGTCGTCGTTACTGCGGCGAGTTGGGGTATTTGAAGACTTGATCGCCAGCGCTTTATTCGTGCTACATGGATGTCGCTTGCTCGGGTTGATAGCTGAAGATGCGCACAGCATGCGAGCCTTGGAGTGCCGTTTGAGACCTTTGATCGCGTATTACTGGAACATGTTGGTGCTGTTGCTAGTAGCCATCTTATGTTACGTCATGTACACATGCATTCACTAACCCACGAATAGTGCTAACGACTACTACCACACGCAAGATGCGATAAATATACTCCAAAGCATACATGAAGACGCGGAATTTCTTGGCGTAACGACCACTGCGATGCAAACATTCACCGCTACCTTTCCTGCAGGGTCCTTCCTCGGTTACATCTCGGCTGACTAACTTTAGGGCTTACATCAATTATGCCACGGTTTGATTTGCTCGCTCTTCATGAAATCGCCAGTGTTTCCATCGTTCCGTAGAACCTTGAGATGCAATACGGCGATACGACGTGTATAATTCGTGGCGTCATGATTGCCATCATGTCACCACCTCAGGTTTACCGCCTCTTCCTCTCCAATAGGGTTCCTGTCCCAACCTCTCGTCCACGAAGCGTTCAGGTAGACCGATGCCTTTGCTAGCATCATAGTCTCCACTAAGTTGACAATCCGTACACAGCGCGCCCAGCTTACTAATCCTAGCTCTCGCTTCCGTGTACCGCCCATTCTCTTCTTGAAACCGGGTCTTCATGTCTTTGAGTATGGAGGCTAGATGTTCCTGCCGCTCCGAGGTTACCTCAATCCATATCTTTGGGCATTCTTTATTGTCGCTGTAGCGCGATGGCTCCCACTTGATGTCTTCGTTCCAGCCCCAATCTCGCTCCGCGCTTATAGGCCCGTATCTGCTGAACATGTTGTATAAGATGATGGATATTTGGATCCCCTCGGCGGCAGCAGCTCGGCTGATCGATGCCAGGCTATCCAACCAATCGTCCTTCCAGTCCAGGAGCGGAAGTTCGACACGCATGTGCCTGAGCTGGAGGAAAGATGTCCGCTTGTTCTGCACCACTAGATCGAGTGCCGGGAGTAAGCACTTTGGGACGAAGTCGACAACCTTCTTATGGTCTATATGCTGGTTCTGGGCTCGTGTTATCCAGAGTTCTTGGAGGCTCTTGGGCAGCGTGGACCAGAGTCTATCTCTCGTGTCGGCGGTCTTGAACATCTCCTCGTCAGTAGTCTTGCGGTGGCCCCATATGTACACCGGGGCGACTTTGAGGCGCTTCAGAGCCGTAAAAGAAGAGAATGAACACGGGTAAGCCTTCCCACGCTCGGCACTTTCGTCGTCAAGGTAAGGATAGAAGTCTTCGTGCCTTAGCCCCAGTGTTTCCAGCGTCTCGTGATGTGGCTCCAGGCTTCGCATCATCGCCGGATGCTCTGTGTCGCACCACGCCCACGGGCCTCCAAGTTCGTAGTTGAATGTCTTGAGTCTTCCGGGTATTGTCGCGTTCAACATGCCTTGGAAATTCTCCACGTCAAGCTTTGCGCATCGCAATTCCAGATACTCTACTGGGCACGATCGTGGCTCCAGTTTCGAGAACAGGGCATTCTCATCGTGGACTTCGCTGTCGCCGTGCTTCCATCCGTATATAGAGCGCACGTTTGGTAGACAAAAGAAGGCTGCGACGTGACTGGTAGCGCTAGAATATTTGTCGTCTGCTCCAGCGACCAGGATATCGATAGGTTCTGACATTGCGTGCGGCTTCCCACGGATGACCTTGGGTAACAACGAGACGAAATCATCATGGCCATATATGCCACAATTGATGTTCAATCGTCGAAGCTTCGGTAGGCTGACGAGTAATAGCGCCATAATAGCATCCTCATTCTTAGCCGACTGGATCTTCTCATAAACAACAAATGCTTCTTCGACGCTGGACGTGTACTCCGCGCACTTCTTCCTCAAGATGTCGTGGGTCCCTGGGTCGTCAGATCTTGGCCAGGATCCGTTCGAATATCTCTCTTCAAAATCCGCCCAGGTACTAGTCACAATGAGGTATTTGACCAGATTGGCATGGGCGGGGGAAGTAAAGACCAAATATGCGAGAGCGGCAAGGTTGTCCGTCTCTCTCAGGTATATCTTCGTGTACAGCCATGGCGTCGCGAGCCGATTGAGCGTTCTGGAAGTCCGACATAGGCTGAGGAGAGATTCGCGTGTGGATAATGAGACAATGTGTTCGAGGAGCTCGGTGGGAAGCTTCTCTTCAATGGAGAGTGACATGGCAAGAACAACCGCCTTGCGGTGGCAACTTGAGCATGCGAACAGCAGGAACGAACAACCGTCTCGACATTCGGAAGTGGTTCATGGTTTTGTACTTACCTGCTGCTCGTTATGCAAGGCCAACGGGGCGTATCGGGGGCCTGCTTGGCATCATGCTGGAGTTACTGCAGGTGGTGGATGTGGAGTTGCTTACGTGACGTCATCTCTGCTCCACCCAATCACTTCGAGTTTGCTGCCTGAATCATCCACTCTTCATAGATCTAAAACTTTCTAATTTGAGTGCTAAGTACAGATCACCAGTTTCTGCCTTCGCTATCATCATCTAGTTCGCAGTCGCCTCAAATGGCCATCCATTGAGGTCGATGTTGAGTAACCTCCCCGACTCAATCTCCTCGGCACGAGACTTGAGATCGTCGATATCCCAATTACACCACAAGAATTTGCCCTTCAGGAAGCGAGCCTCTGGGGTAGAGAGCCAGAGATTGAAGCTTGCTGGAAGAGTGACTATACGAAGAACAATCAGTCTCATCGCAGTATGCAGTAGGGTCGTACACTCACCATCATCAGTCTTGACATGCTTGAAGCTATCCGCCCCACCGACTCTACGGTTCATCTCCGTCAACACAACGCCAGGCTGGGTATGGAAGACGCTGAGATTAGGTTTCGCAAGGAGGACCATGTCCCACAATCGGTACACAGCCATCTTCGCAACGCAGTAAGAGGCGTAAGCATCGTTCAGACTCAAATGCGCGCCCCAGGAGTTGATAGCAACAACATGCGCATCGGGTGCAGCATGGCGTATGAAAGCTTTCGCAACCCACAAAGAGCCCTCAATATTACCAGTAACCCCTTTAAGAAACTCGCGCGCGTCAACCTCAGCGAAATTTTCAGTCGGACCAATAACAGCAGCGGCGTGAATAAGCGTATCAATTTTGCCATCTCTCGCGAAATTGTCAAAGGCCAAATTGACAGATACCTCGTCGGTAACATCCGTGCTTTGGATGAAGACCTTTGTGCCAGGACACTCTTTCTCGATAAAGGCTTTGTTCTCGAGCAGCGGACCCTCGCGGCGTCCTAGCAGACCGATACGTGCGGCACCTGCGCGGGCGAAGAAACGTGCTGTTTCTCCTCCGATGCCCGTGTTGCCTCCTCCAGTCACGAGAATGGATTTGCCTTTCTGGGAGAGGGCTGAAAGGCTGGGGTCGCCGGCGGGTTGGGCTTTGTTGTGCCAGCGCTGGACTGGAGATGGGAATGGGGGAGTGGAGGATACCATGGTGATCTGGATGAGTTTTGGTGGGGGATAAAGGATTGATTGCTGTGTAATTTGCGACTGGTACCACTTGGGAAGATGCGAATGTCTTGGGTATTCGTAAATGAGGACGACCCATCATTCTTATAATGTTCTTGTGCCCTGGCAGGGGAAAGCGACACGGCGGAGTTCACGAATCCCGATGTACAAATTGTTCCGCCAGACACTAGTGAAATCCGACCGCACTGATTCAGTTCGGATGGGGTGGCGCTTTTGCCGGTTGCTATGTCATGCATACTCGTACATAAATACTCATTAATACCTCACTGTTGGTACATCTCGCTAGAATCCATCAAGCCATATCGCTAAGCCATGGAGGCCGTGAGCATGATCAACCCACCCATGCTGTCCATACCAGAACACCATTCGGTCCAACAGGCCGCGCTACGACTAGCTCTACTCGTATGAATCTGAGATGGCGTCTCGTCATTCGATGGAATGTAGGGCAACCACGCATTGCGGCAGGACAGTCGACGCTGGTCCAACTTTACAATCTCACCATCGACAGCCAGCGCAAATGATGTCTCTTCTCGCTGCTCGTTCTGCCGTTGCCTTTGCCACTCCTTTGCATCCTTCGCTTCCCAGAGTTGCCGTTTAGCGGGCAGAGGCGCAATCACGAACTCAGTGGGCATGTCGCACATGGCTGCTGGGTCGAAGAAGACGAGCTTGTTCAGGACGCGATAGATTACCGCGAGTCTATCATGGGTATTTGTGAGGGAATTTGGAACGGCCGTCGGAATGATCAACGTACCTGCGCCTGGATTCTTTGTAAACCCAGTCTTGCCAGCTGTCATCTGACTTGCTGCGACATGGTACGTCATGCGTATGACAATCAAAATCGTTGCGAGAGAGTTGTATCGCGACGAGCTAGAACGAAATTCGTTAGATGTGTTTCCTAAACGTGCGGACATATTGGACTCACAATAACCGCCCTCTCCAAAAGATAATCCAGATTATTATGCTCAGTCTCGCCTTCGTCGATACGAATCAATACGTAAACCGAAAGAGCTTGCATAGCACCTAGTAGTTCCCATTTATTCAGAGTTTGGTTCTGGTCACAGATGCGTTCACACTCGGTTCTCACGTTCCGCCAGAAGAGCTTCCGGCTTCCCTTGACCCCGTTAGCCATCATATGCACCAGCGCGATGCAGTTCTCAAGTGGTTCTGTCGTTGTCCCTTCATCCGTGGACGACATATAGCTTGGGTGTATGAAAGGTGGCAAGTCATTTTGTTGCAGCATTAGCGGATAAGACTTTAACGTGTAGAAGATGAGACTGGCCGCTCTTTCCGCTCCGTGGTGCATCTTTGGCCGTTGTATCATTGATCTGACGTTCGAACTAGGGCCGGGTGAGATGGCAAAGCACAGAAATTGTTGTCTCTGGGTTCGATGTTGCCGCTCCCGCTGACGAGTAAGTTTATTCTGTTCGTCGGAGATTGGGTCTGTTGAGTTCAGCAACAATAAAGGAGGCGTAATAGTCGTCGGGCTGGCTGATCCTAGTGAAGATGATGTGACTGGGGGAAAAGCCGACTGAGGCGAAGGTATCATGTAGTCGTCAAAAGCCGTCATATCGTCGAGGCTCCACTGTAGGTCTTCGAACACGGGGTCAAGGCTGGTCAATGTAGTAGCCAGAAGACCTTGAGATTGATCGGCTACAGTTGGCACAATCGAGTTTGCATGACCGTCAAGGGGATTATCCAGGTGGTCGGAGGTAGCATGACGCACAGCATGACGCCTTTGCCTTGTAGATCTGGAAGGATAGTGACACATGAGACCCCTTCGGATACAACGCGAACATCCTGGTAGTGCGTTATTGCACGCGGTCTTTGCCTTTGCGCAAGCCGCGCACGATCGCCGTCTGGGGACAGAGGCTCTGGTATTAGACCGACAGTAATATCCATGACGTTTCAATGATGATTCTTCGTGAACGGTCAGTCCAACAATCGTTGTCGCAAAGTTGAAGCAGCACGGCAAAGACACTGACGCTTGGTGAACGGCTTGTTGCACTGGCGGCACCAAAGCACACCCGCAGGTACCTGCTCCGCCATCCGGTGCTGGTCTGGAGGTGAAGATGAGGTTTTGTGACACTCACGAGACAGCGATTTCGGGACAAATTGAAGGCAAATAAGTTTTCAGGTGGCGCAAAATAGAAGCTTGGTCGTGACAAGCACAAGATACCTAGGTAGTCCTGAGGTCGAAGTGGATGGTGCTGACATATGCGGCAAGGACGCGCCCCACCTGCATCCTTCGGTCGGTACAAATTGTAATCCCCACCCCTACCAACATACTGGCCTGCTGTTGAAGAACCGTGGGGTCAACCTGTTGATGCACGCGCCTACTCGTATGTTGCGTTCGAGATTCGTCCCGCTATTCCCCAGCATTAAAACAGCGCTTTCGGAGATAGTTCAGCACTTGTCCAACCCAACATTGGTTCTCAATGAGACGCCAATGCCTTGCAGCTTAGAGCAAACGAACATAACGTCGTCCTGGGTGAGCGCGTTATTCCAACTTCGAGATCTGATGGTCCTCATTTCACAGCTATCTGTGTCGTATGAGTCTCTCACCGATCTCATGCCATGGAATAAGTAAAAAGGTGTGCTAAAGTCTACATTATAACAACAGCAACATACATTCTCGAGATTTAAGACAATGTAGCTTTTCGGCTTTTTTTTGGATGTACCCCGTGAAGCGGCTGCCAGCATTCTCCTTATTTGCGTTGCGATAATGCATTACGTGGATAGAAATTGTGTTCATGGGCTATTATACTTCTGTTGTAGCAGCAGAAACAAGTGATAATATCGATCATTGCAAGCAAGCCTTTGTGATCCTAGTCAACGCGAGAGACGAAGCTGTTAATAAGGCATCACCAGGGTTCAGCTCTCCACCAATATGTCAACATCAGCATCAATAAAGCCATCAAACATGCGACCTTTCCAATATAAGCCCGGAAAACACCGCTGCTGTGCTATCCCATTGAAATTGCGAGCTGCTCTCAACCCTATCGAAGGAGAAATAGAGACGCCGAGTAATACGCCGAGGATGCCGCTTCTTCATCAAACCAAAGAAAATGCCCTAAACCCCATCCTTGCACGTCGTGTACAACTTCCCTCCACAAGCCGTCCGACAAAATCATCTGACAAAAGAACAAAAAGTAATCAACAGCCAGCGCATTCCCCAACACGTCCCGTCGCTTACGCACCCCACTTCTTGACCGCCTCGCCCAGCTCTTTCGTCAACCCTCTCCTCACAGCCAAAAGCTCTTCTTTTGCATTCTCGGCCTCTTTCTCGCTCCTCTCGACCCGTCCTCTCAGTTTTTCGACTTCGTTTCTTAGTTCTTTGCGTAGTTCTTTGCTTGCTTCTTCCACAGCTGTTAGCCGGTCTACTTCCACCCGCATCTTTTCGCCTGATGTTTCGACAGATTCCAATCGCTCTTTCATGGCCATCATCTCTTTTCTCATGTTCTCAGATTCCTTCTTTAGCGCGTCGGATTCGATTTGTAGTCCGCGGTAGGCGTGGGATTCTTTTTCCATACGCTTTTGGAGGTCGGTCTTTTCGGTCTCTAGGCTGGTATTCGACGCTTTAAGACCGGCGTTTTCGTCTTTGAGGTGTTGAATTCGATCTGTTAATGCACGATTTACGCGCTCTGGTGCTGGACTGCGTGGGCTGAGGATGGATAACGGTGATGGAACGGAGGTTGAGTCTTTGAGATTTGAGGGTGGCACGATTTGCTCGCTGACGGTGCGACGGTGTTTCTTTGGTCGAATAGCCGATGCAATGCTGGGGTAGTCTTCATCGCGTTCGCGTTTGATCTTGACACTCAAGTTGTCTGTTGCTGCGCGTTTGATGGACGGCGGCTGGACCTGGATGTCTTCCGGTATGGATCTTGATAATGATGCTGCCTCTAGTCAGTACATTATCGACCAAATGACAATCAACATCAACATACAGACGGTAGATGATCGCTTTGGCCGAACAGCGATCGAGTCCTTTTCAATGGGCGTACTGGGTTCCGATTTCCTAGACGGCGGCAGCAATGGTCTTTCCCCCTCGTTCTGCACCCACAAACACGCGTCTCGGAAATTCCTGGTAAACATGGTAGGATCTGATCTTGTCCGACATAACTCCTTCACGTGGCCAGCAGCCAAGAAATAGTAGAGAATGAGGGCCGACACACGATGGATGGCTTTGGAGCCGCCGGTATCGTCTCCAACATCACAAAAAGGCGCATGGAAAGCAACAGTACTGGTACTATTCACAGCTTGCAACTCGTGTGCGCCGTCCTCCAACTCGGTAATGCGATAAAAGCTGACCTCGGCCTCATCTTCGTGGACGTGCGCGGTGACCCGATCTATGGGTTCATCGTCGTCGCCCGCGGGGCCTGGCGCATATCCGCCGATGACAAGCAATTGCTTGTGGGTGGAGCGCCCGAGCCCGCGCCAGATGGCTCTGCTGATGGTGAAGCTCTCGTCGAACTGGATCCAATGCAGTCTTGCGGCGCGTGGCAGGGCGCGAAAGGGCGCGGCAAAATTCGCACGCGCCCATGCTTGGACATTTTCGTTTGTCAGGGGCGATCTTGTCTCATGGAAGTCGGCCATTGTGGCGATTGATTGGCGTGGTGTCACCCGTTGTTGCGCTGGATTTCAATGGGGCGCGCCTTGATTCGCAGAAGCGGAGGCTGCGCAATTGCGGGTCGTGGGGTGGTGACGAGCTGGTGCTGTTCCTGGTCGCGGTGAAGAATTGTACGACGAGCACAGGTCGCCGCCATTGAAGCCCGTTGGTGGTCGGATCACGGCGACATTGCTCGAGAAAGCTGTGTAGAGGTTGACGCAGGCAGAAGTCAGGCGGGAATCCTTCCGCTGCCCGTTATTTGCGGGGCTGGCAGTGGCTGGACGACTAGAACGGAAGGTGTGCAGCGCAACCCATTTTAACACATGCAAGACGGCCATCATCCCAATCGTCATCGCACAGTTGCATGTTTCGGTGTTTTGCATCCATCGCGCTGCATATCTAGTTCTGGACTTGCGCGATAAGGGTGCTGAGCGTCCGTAACGCGCTGGTTCCGGGTACCGAGGTACCTCTTGTTGTCGAGCGCATCGCGCGCTTAGCCCCGAAGAGACCTGATACACTTGGCAATAGTATCAAAATAGCTAGAGCTGGATTAAGGTTGCAGGTGCGCTGGACAAGGTTCAGGATGGTCCTGGTCAGGCCAGGCGATGAGTTCATCGGCAGTTCACGGATGCTTGCGCTAGTGGTCGAGACCATCATGTTTCTTATGTTGTGCATGTGCTATGTATGGGTGCGTCGGGAACTGCACTCAGCAATCGTGAACATATACATGATGGCAGTGATGCCAATGGGTGCTGATACCTATGTGATACAGGTCAACACTTCCATTTTCACAACGGCCAATTGGTACAGCAGGACTGTGGTAGTACGAGCAAACTCGCCGATGCCGTCCTTGAGGGAATTTGCTTTTTCCAGTGAACGATCGATCGTGGTATTTCGTAGTGAGGTGTGTTTAACGTTGTTGCGTCCACGGGTGCCACGGGGTTCTCACGTGGAGTTCTCACGTGCCTTTGCCCAATCGGGCAGTCCTACGCGTCTACGTCATCGCCTTTTTTTCTGCCACGCGCGCCACGTGCAACAGCTTTCACAGTCACCCTGTGCACCTCCATTCTGGCCTTTCCACGCTTCCTAACTGCTGTCGTATCTGCAGCTGTCTTGGCCTTCTTCCTCAAAGCGCCCTTCCCCATACCGAAGGCCACGATGCCCCGCCGCAGCGCGACCTCGTCGGCATCCACCGATACGACCACCACTACAACACTCCCAGAAAAGGTCCAATGGCCGTCGACGTTTACAGACGGACTGCCACTTCCTAAGATTGTCGTATTCGATCTCGACTACACGCTATGGCCCTTCTGGGTTGACACGCACGTCACGCCTCCGCTGAAGCCTGTCGAGGGCGGTCTTAAGGTCAAGGACAAATATGGCGAGGGCTTCGGCTTCTACAACGATGTTGGCGGCGTATTAGAAGCAGTGAGATGACTCGATGTCCATCGACTCCATGACGAAGCTGACGTAACGGCAGCTCAAACACAAGAACATCCTCATCGCTGCTGCCTCGCGCACGTGTGCCCCCGATCTCGGCCGCGAAATGCTCAAGCTCCTCAAGATACCCAGCGCAAACGGATCGTCCTCACGCGCGATAGACTACTTCGATCACATGCAGATATACCCCGGCAGTAAGACGACGCACTTCCAGAGGATACATAGAGACAGCGGGATCGAGTACGAGGAGATGCTTTTCTTCGACGATGAGAGTAGGAATAAGAATGTGGAGGTACTGGGAGTGACTATGCAGCTTATAAAAGACGGTGTGACAAGAGATGTGATTGACAGAGGTGTGCAGAGTTGGAGAAAGAGAAATGGACGGACGAAGGCGCTGGAAGGCTGAGAGGACAGTGTTTGATGCCACTGATGGCTCCAAACACCGCCGTCGCCGCCTGACCGCCTGTTATCTTCTGTTGACCCCGAATGCAACAATGCATATTGCTGAGGCGTCGCGTTAGATTGATCCAACGTACATGGCGTCTCAGAACCCCGCCTTGTACATGCACATTAAAGTACTGTGGTGGCCGCTAGAGGAAAGATGGACTTGGCATACGCAGCCTTGTGCCCCAATGCAGCCGCTTCTGGGCACGACTCATACCCGACTTTCTTACGTGTCTTATAATAACATTCCTACAATGTCGGTGTGGCAAGGCACCATGGGTCCGCCCCATGCGGAAGCACTAGCAGAGCCGCATCAGGCTACGTGGCGCTCCTGTACCATACCTTGAGCTGACACGAAGGAGGCTGTGGCTACTTTGTTGCTAATGAGAATGTATACATGTGAAGCTAGTGTTAGGATCATACACCCGTCATGCGTCTCCCGAAGCTTTACCATTTCCGGTGGTGATGTCTGGCCAACAAGAGGCCTATGCGTATAGATTGCTTACGCTGTACTCCCGTCTCATCTCCCCATGCTATACTCAATGGGACAGACCGCTGATTTCTCGAACTGAATCTTGCGATCAACAGTGTTATGCGGCCGTTTCTGGACAAGACTTTGTACCATGTATGCGGTGCTCCTTCGACGTGAAAGTCATCATGAGCACATTGATACAGTTCCTGCTCGAAGTGGGGCTCTTTCGATTACAATTCTCGCTGTGGCGTTTCGGGATTCTCGCTAGTATCGTGGAAGCACTGCTTTGACTACCAAGCATTGCTATCCTACTGTCGAGGGTAGACGGCCTCTGCCTACAGTCCGACAGAAAAGCGACGCAAATCTATCAGGTTTCATTAGCTGCCACGTCTCCAGATAGGAAGAACAGAAGTCATATCAGGGGCTTCCGCTGTACTCCTCAGCCTCAAAAACCCCGGTCACTGGCAGTCGAATCCGCAGTGTCTCCAACAAGGCTTCCGCTATACTCCTCAGCCTCACAAACCCCGGTCACTGGCAGTCGAATCCGCAGTGTCTCCAACAAGGACGGTAAGGCTCTTCGCCCCGAATGCATGCCCAAGCCTACCATGCACATCTCTATCGATGGGTCTTCACCGGTCACATCGCCCCAAAATCAACACAGGCATCGGAGGTTTGTCGGAGTTGAAGCGTATGGATGTCTTACTTACATCTACATTTTGTCTATAAGTACTGTGTCCGCATCCTGCTTTGAAAGGTATCCAGCAGATCAAACTGACAACGGACAATCAACTACAAGACAAACATCGATTGAGACTTTCGGCCAGCCACAAGCATACAATCATGCTCTTCAAATTCCCCATCACCCTGCTCGCCATCAGCAGCGGCGCTATGGCCTACACGAACAAGTAAGATACGCGCGCTTTCTTTACTACCTCTTTCCATCACAATCATCTTGCCGTCACCGTTAATCGAAGGTATTAACCTTCTCAGCTGCAAGGGATCCACCAATTCGCCTCTCATCGCCGAATGCCGCGATGCCATTGCCAACAACATCAACGCAGGCCTCACCTACAGCCACGACCAAGAGTTCTCCTACGGAACCTGCTACGTCAAGTACGCAACGAATGACAAGGCGAGTGTGTCACACCCTGTGTCTGGTCAGAAAATCAAGGATGTAGCAACGCGCATCTTAAATGAATGCGGACATCACAAAGGCAGCTTTGGGACGGACAACTGTGACGGGTGCCATGTCACGGTCAACTATAAGGCGCGATGAAGGCAGAGCGTTGTCTTATACTCATGGTACGAATTTCAAAACACAGTCTTTACAGCAGTCAGTCATTACCTAGATATGTACACACTCATTCAATTATAACCTGCTTTATCTGAAACGAGATACCCATGAACTTCCAATCCAATTGAGATCGCACGGAGGAAGGCCTTTCTCATAGCTAGGTACGAGCGCATCCGGGCTTCGCTACGGACGGCCTCTCCATCACTAATCGTACGGTATGTCCACACACTCTGCGTTTATGCTAGCTCATTATAGAAATGTTTTCTAGTCAACAACGCCAGTATCGCGCCGCGCCGCTGCAGTTTGCCAGCTAGCTACGGGATGACAGCCCATTCCGGCCTCTTCGTCACAAACACCTAACTATTTAGTACTAAAGCGTGCCTCACGATCCACTCAGATGTCTTAGCGCCTGGTTCCCCGCCTTTTACACGATAGCCTTGGTGTACATCACCTCGCGCCCCTCGTTTACTCGTTTAGCCGTTCCTGGGCAATGCTTCTCCGTAGCTTGTTTGGGAGGCTTACGATAACTCTGCTGGGATATCGGTACGACTATGAGTTTGACGCAAAGCTTCGATGACGAGCACGGATCAATACCAGATCGCAGTCTGGGTCAGTCTCATGCTCTTCATCGATGAGCTTGCTGCAAAAGTAACTGCTTCACGTCAGCCTGCGTGGTCCATCTGCGCCATAAGCTTTTGGACCCTTCGGAAGCTTATCGTGTTTTGGACGGATGCTAATGCACATACATCAAGCTAATGCCGGAGCCGTACGTCCGTAAGGCTGGAGGCATGTACACTACGGCCCGCAAACCTTCACCACCTACTACTTCAAACTTAACCAACGAGACGTGATGTGCTTCCTGCTTACTTGCATCATGGCACCATATTGTAACGTCAGGATACCAGAGCTACTGCGACATCGTGATGCTAGGTTCTGCGATCGACCGGATCAGGCGTTCGTTCCTGATCGGCGCTTCCCGGATTATCCGAAGTGGGCGGATCTCTCGACACGTCTCTACGTTTGCGTCTAACAGCGGAGCACCTTCCGGTTGCATCTCTCGTTAGCAGTGGGCTACGGAATTTCACGTGCACTCCAAGACGTAAGGCTGTGTTTACTGTGTGTCACTTGAAGTACGAAAGGCAGACTGCTTTCATCAAAACCTATGCTGCGGAGGCATCGTAATTCGCGAGGTTTCACTGGGTTGTTACTCCTTCATCACCAAAGGAGACGAATCCTAGGGGCTCTTAACCTACATTTTAGGAACATGATCTCCAGATCGGAGTTGTAGCCGAAGCGTGTGCATCGAGCATATGGGGGGCCTCATCCCAAACACGCATGCCTCAGACCATCATGCACATCAGCATCGACGCACTCTGACCGGTATCTTCACTTCCAAAATAGTAAGGACAGCGTGGCTCAGTCAGCTAGGGGGCGGCGTGTGCGAGTCTTCCTGTACGCATACATTTTGTCTATAAATACTGCGTCCGCACAGCGATTTACAGACATCAAACACATCAACTTCCCATCCATTACCATCACAAACACTCAGAACCATCAATCAATCATGTTCGCCAAAATCGCATTCGCCCTTTTCGCTCTCAGCAGCACTGCTCTGGCCTACTCCGACAAGTAAGCCACCTCCCCTTCCCTACTTCCCCTCACATCACCTGGGCAACCTCCCATCTACCCATCATCCTCAACCCTCCTAACCCACTCACCCAGCTGCGACGGCTCCAGCCGCTCCCCCAACCTAAGCGAATGCTACGTCGGCATCGCCAGAATCGACGTGAACGCCTACTACAACGACCAGCAGGAGTTTTCGCAGGGTAGCTGCTTCATCAAGTACGCTACCAACGGCTCTGGCCAGCAGGCAGTGCGGGGTCAGGTTATCAAGGACAAGGCCGAGTATATCTTGGCTCACTGCGGAAAGTCGCATGGCAGCTATGGAACTGGTAACTGTGACAAGTGCCATGTCACTGTCAACTACCGCAGCTAGAGGAGATGAAGAGATACTTTGGAACTAGGGGGAAGAAGGGGGAATAGGGATTTAAGAAGGGGAGGTTGTTAGATACACACTCGTTCAATTGAAAGACTTGTTTATCTGGTATCCAACCAGCTAGCCAATCCTGCGGACTCTGTTTTGTGAAAACCTTTGAAGACTGTAGCAAGCGATCCACCCCCACCATCGTATCGTTATGCCCTGGCACGCTATACCTTCTTCCAGAAATCGGTGATCCTAGTTTGTCTCCGATCGTAAACCACAGGCTGAAAGCCAGGGCCGTCCTCGTCCTCAATCTCAACTTGATCTTCCTCTTCGGTGCCATCTTCACCCTCGCTATCTTCGTCTGTATCTTCGTCTTCGTCTTCGTCATCATCCTCATCGCTATATTCGTCATCATCTTCGTCATCTTCAATATCTTCCTCAATATAGTCCACAACGTCCTCCTTGACTTCCTCCTGAACATCCTCGTCAATTTCCTCCTCAGCCTCTACGTCAGCAGTCCCGTCAGCCCCTTCCTCTGCCTCCGATTTCTTAGCCCTTGGTTTCGCCTTCCACAGCGCCATCCCAATGCCCTTGCTCTCCACGTCTTCTGCCTCTTTCAACTGCTCCATCAAACCATAGTATTCGCAATACTCTTCACTAGCCAAGATCCAGCGTTTGGGATGACGAATGCCCATCTCGCCGATGAGTCCATCCGCAGCAGCCACTTCGTACTTGTGCGGCCACTGGTTTTCGTACTTGAGCTCGCGGAGCTGATCTGTCTTACGCATTTCCTCCGCATGTTCCGCGGTATAGGTGTGTCTCTTACCAACAAATTTCTTTGGGACGGTTATGGTGGTAGGCAGGAAGTTCCAAGCGAAGTTTATTTGCTTGGTCTGGATACGGCGGCGGGTCTTGTTCCCTAGCAGACCTGCTTGCTCGACTTCTTCTCTCCAGTCCCCATCGCTAAGCCGCTTGTACTGCACGCGCGCGAAGCGGAAAAGCTCTGCGGTCTTGTACCATTCGCGCTGAGGAGCTGGTAGATATTCGTCTTCTTGTTCACATATGGCATCCCAGTCTAGCGCGTCTTGAAACATGAGCCAGTCGTAGGCGATTTGGTCGCCCATGTCTGCGAGGCTGTCTCGCAATATGTCGACGACGTGGCTGTACTTTTCAAGCTGAACGGTCTTATCACTGTCTTTGTCCCGGGATGCGTCGGTAATTAGTAGTGTGACTTTGTCGAATGGATGAAGCAGGAGTGCGCGCCACTGTGGGATTTTGCCCTTCCTCTCTGTATCGATGTTCAGCTCGAGCTTCTCTAAAACTTCTCCACGACGCCAATTATCCTTCTCAGCTTCGGGTATCATCGCAATCTCTGCTAGAGCCTCAGCAAAGAAGTCGATATCCAGTGTGAGCGTGATGGTCCGCAGCGCCTCCCACCCCTGATAAAGCGGTATGCTGCCGAACAACTTGATCGCATGCCCATGCTCTTTCTCGAACCTCTGGGAGAATCTATCGAGATGCTTCTTCAGATGGCGAGCCGCTGCTTCCGAAAGCTCCTGTGACATGTTAGCCTAGCTCCCCGCATACACTGCTTTGACAGCATCTCATTTGAGGAAAGGTAGACGGTGTTCAAACTTTTCTTCGTACAAGATGACGGCAACAACATACCAAATTTGCCTGCTTACAAGCCAGTATCATACCAGGCCCACGTCCAGGCGTCCGGGGATTCTTGTATCGCAATGGGGGAAGATATCCATACAGAAAGTCGTAGATGCTCATGCGTACGTCGCGGTTCAGCAGTGTGAAGAACCTGGCGTCTTGAACGACTGGAACTGGCATCTCCACTGCGGCAGCCTTCATTTGCAACTTGCGGTAGGCGCTGTTGGCGGTAGTTGAGGAGAGCGTGTGCTCTGTCATAGTGATTCTGCGGGCGGTTTGTTTGCTCCAAGCTTGCGGTTGAGCGATCTCAATCGAGGTGCAGCAAGCGTGGAGTGGGTCTGGAAATGTGAAGGGCATCATGTAGAGTGAGGAAGCTCGGAAAAATCACGTCAGTGCGCTTAGGGACTGCTGCCTCGTTCATGGGGACAGACTAATCGATAGTGAAAGGGCGATTCACTCCGACCCGTTTCGGCGATGAATACAGGCGCAATGTCTCGGGCGATGCATCTGACGTCATGTCAGACAAGTGTTGTTGTAAAACTGAATTCGTCAAAGAACAAGTTCACCTAAGTCCATCTAAAGGAAAGTAGGAAAAGCGGACAGTCGTATGCAACAGAATCATCCTATACAGCTATACTACCTCTAACCCCCAAATATTCGCGTTTCGTACAACACACTCATCACCTACCACCTCGTGCCGAGCATCGTCACACAGCATGTGCCCACGCGTCATCACACACCACCGCCGCACACCTCTCCCACTCACACAGCTGTTCGTCTGCCAGCTGCAGGTACCGCCATGACAGCACCCTTCCTCACCATCTCCTTCTGATGCGCCTCCCTCCGCAACTGCTCAATCTTGGCATGTAGCTCTGGTACGCCGACATCTTCCACATGTTTACCGTGAATCTTACGGTTCGCGTTCTTGCCATGGCTGACACTGTTGTTTACTGCGTGATCATTAGTGGCATGCTTAGAAGCTGCGAGACCAGAGTGCTTAGTCGGAGTCGTAGAAGTTGCGGCAGCGCGTCTGCTATCGCCGCGAGGAGCGGGTCTACGTCGTTGTTGGGCTGGTCGAGGGGGTTTGGTGGTGGGCTTGGTGGGGACGGGGGTGTCGTCTTCGGTATCAGAGGCCCATGAGAGCTGGGAGTGGCGTCGGGTGGTGGAATCCTGGTTTGGTATCTTCTTAAGAACGGAAGTCTTGGGGGGAATTCTGCTATCGATCGGTGACGAGGTCTTACACTCGATGCTAGGAGACGATGGTGGCGAGGTAGAGGGGCGACTGGAGGGGATCTGCACCTCACTGGATCCCGAACTGGCTACTGAAGTGCGAGATGACTCAGGGCTAGGTGGAGGCGCAGGAGTATCGTCAAGATCGATGAGCAGATCTGATACTTGGCTAGCACGACGAAGCGATTGCGGGGCTGTCGCTGGTGGAGGAGTCAATCGTCCCAATGCAGCCGGTCTCGGAGACGGGCTCCTCTTGAAAATACTACGCGGCTTCTGCACGTCGTCATCGAGTAGATCACGCTCTTCACTCTTCCTCGTTCGAAATGTCGAAGGGTCGGGAAAGACTCTTGCCTCCGATATCGCGCCATCATGGTCTGCATCCTCATTCGCCGCCAGCCTTCGCTGCATCCAGGTAGGCGGCCTGGGACCGATAGCCGACTTCTCCTTCCACCACTTCGGTATGCCTCTAATGAAACCCAGTTCACGTAGCTTCTCGATACCGGGCATCTCGTGCTTGAACTTGCACCCGATGGCTGTCCAGTCACACTCCCCTGTCTTAATCCAGTGTGTGCAGTACTCTTTCTTGGATGGGTCGGGCTCGATGCCAGAAGGGTGGGGCACGCGGTATCCGAGGCGCTGCGCATCTTTCTGGTAGATGGAGGCGAAGGTGTCGGTGAGTGAGGACGGGCGTTCGATAGTAGCGGTAGGGGTTGGACGAGGTGGTTCTGGCGAGCTTACGATAGCTGGGAGCTGCTGAGATAGTCTAGGAGAGCGAGTGCCGCTCACGGGCATTGTTTGCGGCTCCGCACGTACATGATGGTCTGGTGCCAGGTACCGTGACTGCGTCGTCGTAGTGGAGCGAGGCGAGAAGCTGCTGGATGTGGGCGCGTGGATCAATAGAGCCGAAGGAATCTCGTCTGTCTCTGAGCAAAGCTTCCAGGCTCCGTCCGAGATCTGGCGATGGGTCAACTGACGTGGGATTCCTTGTAGCTGGAAAGGCAGCTGGTCTACTGGTACCAGCGGAACCATCACGCTGCCACGAAGAAGATAGTAGCGAAGACCTTCCGGAAGGGCGCAAGTGCTATAAGCTTGGGTAGTCATATCAACAAACAAACAAAAAGGGAATCTTTGGATACAGATCGCTGTTATGGACACCCTTGGTGTAGTGAGTATACAAAGAGATGGTTGAAATACGACTTGGAAGGAACGGTGAGAGGATGAGATCCGAACGGTTGTGTTCCATTATATTCGCGGGTGTGCGACTGTGCTCAAGACAGCAATTCGATGTCTCTACCCGACGCAAGCAGTTTGCCGGCATCTGCAACCTTGCTTACCTGTCCGGCAAGCCATTGTTACGAATCAAGACGTCTAGCAATGGCCGGGAGGATGAATGGATTGCATTTGAGTTGAAGATTGTCTGCGGATCAATCAGGGAGTATACATAAGCCTACCGAGATGGGATGGGAGTAACGCGTCCTGGAAGTTTGTGATACCGTGATCTGTCGCAACCCGTGCTGCGAATAAGCGACAGACTCCGCCAGAGCGTTGGCAAGCTGTGAGGAGAGGGTGAATAATCGCATTGTCGATGATAGGGGTTTGTCCTCGTGGCTTGGACAGCACGCAATCGGCCCTAAAACATGGCGTAACGGCTGGCGGGATGGGGAACTGCGATGTCAGCGCTTGCGATGCCAAACCTCTCGCTCTTCGCTCCTCAAAACGTCGAAGTCGTGATGCTATTGTGGCGATCGCGGTGACAATGACGAGTAGATTACAAAATTGAAAGGTCTTGAAGATGGCGTACCGCACTGCCATGTGGCCAGGCCAGGTTAACACTTTCGCTCAACGGGTATCCCTGTGCCGATCAGCCGCGGCACGGCAATCGCCGTCCTGCCCAGACCCGCCTAACCACAACTCCAAAACATTAGACTGCTTCAACCCGCGTTGGGCCATCACGGCTTTCGGATTCGGATCTTTGCCTTGGCCGTGGCAGCGCATGCCATGTATCATCTTCTCCCAGCCTGAAGCCGCCGCTAGGAGTCTCCCTCCGCATCTCAACGGTTGGCCCTCCGGTCGGTACCGATGATGTCTGCACAAAGTCAATCTGCAGATCTACCACCTAGTCTTCTGGCAGTTCACGTCTCGACCGAACATGTCAAAAGTTACTTGCATGATATTAACCGTGTGGCTTGTCCTGAGGAGATGCCTCCGTGTTGAGGTTGGCAGCTGAGGTATGCAGCCTAAGAGGCCGCCATCGAAGTTACCGCTCTTTCGCAACGAATAGACCGTCCGGCACATCGTTCATGACTCGGTTAAGAACGCGATCTTCAATAGTGGGTCGTTGGCTTCCACTGGTCTTGCGCGGCAGGGCTTCTGGCCAGTTTCGGAGACTACGCGCCTAGGACGACTATCAACGGTCCCTATGCTCCAGGGTCTGCTAATATTGGAGCCTTCCTCGGCATCTCGTTGTTTGTCGATGAAGTTTCTCAACGCGTAGGATACGGCCAGCAATACTTCGGATCAACGACTGTCGGTAGCTATGAGAGATCGCATCGCTTTAACGGAAACACAACGAAGCTTTGATAGCCGGAAAGCATCTCCGACATGAGCAAAGACGACCGCAGTCCCGAAGTGTTCGCCGTGGCTGCACTGTTCTTTGTGCTCACATGGACGACTGTTCTCCTACGGATCTACGTACGCGCAGTACTGATGAAGACATGGGGAAAAGATGACTCGTACATGGTTGCGGCACTAGTAAGTGGTCGCGTCTCGTGTTCAATCGGAGATTATGCTGATCAAGCTTGTAGTTGACGTTCACTGTGTACCTACCATGTCAGATCATTGCCGCGATGCACGGAACTGGTCGCCATCGATGGGAGTTAAGCGATAGCGATGCGAAGACAGCACTCTTGGTCAGTCTAACGATCTCATCACATTATCTGACATCTGACTCGATGCAGTTCTGGTATCTGTGCGAGCTGTTCTACGTGATAGCGAACTGTCTGCTCAAGTTTGCCATCGGCTACTTCTACCTGCGGGTCGCGATTGAGCGCTGGCATATCTGGGCCATCAGAATACTCATGCTAGGCACTGTACTATGCGGTCTTGTCTACTTCTTTCTAGTCTTGCTTCAATGCATTCCTAGTAAGCATCAATCAAGCGCGCTCGTTGTCAAATCCGCTAATGGATCCAGTTTCGGACTTTTGGAACGTGCATCCCGCCTCAGACAGATGCATACACAACGGGCCAACTCTGGGGATTACTTATGCCCTCGCCTCCATCAACGCAATGGCTGATTGGGCATTCGGCTTGCTTCCTTTCTTCATCGTCTGGGGCTTGGAAATGAGGACCAAGACAAAGCTATTGGTCGCGGGCATCCTTGCATTCGCAGCGATTGGAAGCACCGGTACAGCGATCCGTATGGCGTACATTCACACACTCGTTCAAGGCCCAGACTTCTTGTATGCTACCACCGACGTCGCCTTGTGGAGCACTATCGAACCCGGAATCGGCATCACCGCAGGCAGCATCGCAACACTCCGTCCGCTCGTCCGTCACTGTCTATGGAAGATGGGTCTAGCCGACGCACCTCGCGAAGAACGCGGCCGCAACTACTATCCTTCACAAGAAGGTGGTCGCATACGAAAAAAACATCGCCGCGGATATCGCCGTAGCTTGAGCCCTTCTGATCTAGTCCCTACAATTCCTGGTACCATGACTACTATACAGATCCATGGACCCCACGACATAGACCTGGAAGAGAACCTGTCCCCGCCGAAAATCGTCGTTACAGACGATGATGTACCGGAAACTCCAGAGGGTCAGATTATACACACTGTCACGGTTCAGCAACAGTACGAGGGCCCTGCGAAGCTTCCTGAGGCACCTCCGAGACTTCAACTGCGCGACAGCCTTAGACATAGCTTCACTCGCGGGAGTATTCTGAGCCCTGTATTCCGAGTGCCCGAGTGAACACTCGCAATGAGTACCGTATGTCTCACCGCCATCTCCATTATCTCAGTTGAGCAAACGGGCCACATTCTCACTTCAAGCGGTCAAAGACACCCGGCGATACACCGTGTCATGAACGCTATGTCTCATCGACTCACCATGTCGCGGCGCTCTGACGGACACGCGCTCCAACGTCACTAGGTCAGTCGTCAGAAGAACTAAAGCGTGAGAGCATCTTGGAGCGTGGCGTCACCTGCGCGAAACACATTCACCAACGCTGGCTGTCATTCACGTCACCCACAATTGTATCTCCACCCACCGCTCCTGAGCTCTCAGCCTCACACGCGAGACTTCGCTATACCATCACAATCTCAACAGTCCCTGTTCAGCTACGTTATAGTTCATGACTAGTAATACCGCGTTCACACCAGGCAGCCATACTGATCACGGTATGGCTAAGAACCCCACACCATCAACAGAGACTTCCAGTCAGTCGCGCAACCAAATTCCCACATTAGATGGCGAAGTACCCGTTCTTCCATCCAACGAAGGCATCCTCACCCCCGCCATCCCCAATCGGTCTCACAGCCATCCTCCGCCAAGAAACAACGAAATATCCGTCCTCCCACCCAACAAAGAAATCCTCGCCTCCGCCATCCACATGACAAACACCACCCGCTTCCTCCACCTCCTGCACCACGCCAAAGCCCTAATCACTCTTCACGGGCCCTACACCACCCTCCCCACCACATCAGTCTTCATCCGCTCCCCAAAACCACCGCTCCCCACATACCCCTCCTCCCCAACCCTCAAATCCCTCGCCCTCTCCCTCGCCGCCGCCCAAGACAGTACTTATAGCACCTACACCACCCAACCACACAGCTCCTCAAAAACGGATCTCGACCTCTTCACCCTCCTCTGGGACAGTTCCGTCGTTGTCTTGGAGGAGATTCTGTCTGTGGGTGATCTACCACAAGAGTCTTTCGGGTGGGGGATTTATGGGTTGGCGGCGGGGTATGTGCATCCTCCTCCTTCTACGCCTTCTCGTTCCCATGATCTGAGTCAGCAGAACAGGTTCATCCGAGACAAAGAGAGGTTGAAGGATGCGCTTTGTATGATGCCGAGTTTGGAGGGGGGTGGGATGGGTAGGGGGATGGGGATGGGGATGGGGGGAAGGACGACGACGGAGGCCTTGACGAGGGCGAGGAGGGATATACATACTTTAAGCCATATTCTTCTGTATGAGTTTAGGAAAGGGGGGTGGAAGAGGGTTAGGTGGGGGAATGCGGTTATGGTTGCGGAGAGGTGGGTTGGGGCGTTTGGGGTGGTGGGTGAAGAAGGGTGGAAGGGAGTGGTAGCGAAGGTAGAGACGAAGAAAGGGAGTGGGAAAAAGGTTACGTTTGAGTTTCCTTGATGGCTTGGATTTGAGCAAGAATGATGGTTTTGATAGCTGAAGGAGCGGTGTACAACCTCAACCATAGTAATTAATGAGAACACAACATACACATCTCCAACATCTACCATATAACTACACCGCATATCCAACTGTCACCAACTTCAAATCCCCATTACCTAGACTTTCTCCTTCCCCTCCTCCCCGCCAACCTTCCCCTTCCCCGACACAGCCAGCCTCTCTGCCACCTTCTTAACACACGCCTTCCTCTTCCAACACCCGCGATACCACTCATCCAACTTTGCAAATCTCACACCACCATCCTCATCTTTCCCACTCCCACCCACCCTCCAGCCCTCCCACTCCCCAACCAAACCATGTACAACCGGCCAAACAAACGCATCCGCAACACTAAACCTACTCCCCGCTACAAACGGTCCTCCGTTCCTCTCTATGGTTTCTTCTAGGCGTGCTAGGAGGTTCTGTAAGGTGGAGTTAGTGGTGGTGGTAGTAGGAGTAGGAGTAGTAGGAGTAGGAGTAGAAGTAGGAGTAGAAGCAGGAGGAGTTATATCCCCCCGTATTTCCCCCCTCCCCTCGATTCCTCCAATCCTCCTTGGGTCCTGCTGATTCCGCCAAACCCCCAAAATCTCCTCCGCTAACAGTATAACCGGAAACGCATTCGCGCTCGCCAAATTCGCAGAATGGCTTTTATCGAGGGGGTGATATCGGTCTAGGTACAGTAATATACCCATCGGCGTGTGAATCTCCGAATGCTGGACGTCGACATCCCGGAAGGTGATTTGGCGGTTTTGTTCAAACGACGAATCTAGATCCGGTGCTTCAACAAGCGTAAACGGCACTTTCGATTCCGCTAGACAGATAACCACCTGCTCGTTCTCTACACGGTTGTTGGATAGGAAAAGCAGCGGTGTATCTTCACCCGGCGGTGGCTCATGGAGGTGCAAAACATCAAAACCCTCACCATACCACTTCTCCCACTCAAACTCGACGTTGTGATTCTCGCGGCTGAAGGCAGTGATGAGGCGTTTAGACTCTGCCTCGTCATTCGCAACGATATCCGCGGCGTCGCGTTGCGTTTTCGACGTCGCGCCTTGGCCCCAGATGATGGTGCTGCGGCAGTCGAGGTACGTGGCTATGTGGCGGAACGTCAGACTGATGCGTATGCCTCCATATGCGTTTTCCGTTTCGCTGCGTTCGGCGGGCAGGCGCTTGTCGGGTTGGATGCCGTGGAGCCATTTTGCGTTTGAGAGCAGGCCGAGGGTGAACATGGAGTTATGGGGGAGGTGGACGCGCTGGGTTGAGCGTGGTGAGGACGCGGGTGAGGGGTCTTCTTCTTCTTCTTCTGGTTTTGCTTGTGATTCGGCTTTCTTGGTGCGGAGCCGCATGGTGCGTTGCGAACCGAAGCTTACGTTGACGATGGAGGAGCCTTTTGCGATGTCGAGCGTCTTGTCCGAGTGCTCGGAGATGAAGTCGTTGCCGGAGCGGTAGAGTTGGATTAGCACGTGGTTTAATGGGTGACCGACGAGCGCCTCGGCGCGCTTTCGTATGATGTGGACTTTGGGGGAGAAGCGCAGCAGGGGCAGGGTTTGGTCGGATGGGTGCCGGTATACGGGCATCGAGCCGTCGTCGCCGAAGGCGCCCTGGCAGCATACTAGACGGGGTACTTCGCCTTGTTGGTGGAGCATCTTTTGCCATCGGACTTCGTTGTAGAGTTGGGTGAAGATGGTGTCTCTGAGTGGTTTTGATGGTTCGGATGGGTGGAAGAAGTCGGCGGGGAAGAAATCGTGGATGATGCGTGAGTCGCCTTCTGCAATGTGATCGCCAGGCCCTAGGACGGGGAACGTTGCGAGTGACTGCAACTTGGGCGGCTTACCCATCGTTGCGGCTTTTGTAGGTGTCTTTGTTGATGATGGCGAACTGGCTTCTGGCGTGCTGACAGGAGGTTGTTCTGGCCATGCAGCTTCTACAGTCGGTAGCTTGATTTCCCTGTCGTCTTGCTTCGGGGTGGTTGGTGCAGGCTTTGCAGAACTGATGGACCCTCTCTTTGACTCAGACCCCGACTCAGACTTTGGTGCCCTAGTGAGTGACATGCGCACGCGATCCGAGAGCTCAGTCAACCTGTTCTTCTCCTTCTCATCACCAGCTTTCGCGGATAATGCAGGTACCGAGCTAGCATTCTTGAGCATATGCTGCTTGATATCCTTCTGCCGCAAATCTGCCACACTTCCGGCTTTCGCAATCTTGGACATTCGTTGAGGCTCAGCCGATGCGGACTGTGGTATGACTGTCGGTGCCGTAGTGATTGGCGGAGATGAATCTTTCGTAACCTGGTTCGCCGTCGTGCTCGGCTCGCCATTCGCCTCTTCACCATCTTCCTTTGATGCTTCTCTGTCCTTCGCTTTCTTCTTGCTCTTCCTATTCTTCCTCATTCGAACCTTCGACTTGACAAGTTCCGGCTTGTCCACTTCTGTCTTATCTTCCGCGGCACCTGCAGCACCCTGTGCAGCCCTCTTCTCTATGATGTCCCTTGCGAGAGACAATTTAGCCATACGCTCCTCCATAGTCTGCTCGCTCTTCGCGCCATCCGCAGGCGCTGTTGTCTTTGTCGCAATTATCGTCGTATCCTCCTTGAGTATCTCTTCACTGTTGACCAAATACGTGCTGAAGAAATCTTCCATGCGCTTCAGCGCCAGTTCGTGTCGGTTTTCCCTGCGGAAGCCCAAGCAGTCTTCTATGACATGGATCTTGACACCATGCCGCGCTGCATCGATGACAGTCGCAAGCACAGAAACATTGGTGATGCATCCGCAGATGAAGAGTTCGGTGATGAGTCTTGCGCGCAGTGTTATGAGCATGTCGGTGCCCTGGAAGGCGGAGTAATTGGTCGTTTGTATCACAACGTCTGCAGGTAGCTCGATCTGCGTCGCGATAGCATCTGCAAACTCGGCGCCACGCGTGTCGGGCACGCATGCTGGCGTTCTCTTTTCGCTCTTCAACAGGAACAGCTCTTCGTCTTCCTCAGCCTTGGCTTTTGCGACTTCCTTTGGCAGCGTCTTTCGTCGTGCAGACACGCGTTTCAGCAGGGCTAGCGCGCGTTCCTTGTGTTTTGAGGATCTGGATGGCGCTGGCAGCGACGCTGCTTCCTTGGCTAACTCTTCCTCAGCTTCATTGTTGTTTTCCTCGCCGTCGAGCAGCCCTTCTACGACAAGTGTATCTCCCGCACCCGTGTCGGCGCCAGTCGCGATGCGATCGGCTTCGTACAGCGTCTGGACCCAAATGACATTGCCGCTGAGCTCTCTGAATTTCGGAATCAAAGTCTGGATGCGCTCCAGAAAGCCCGTCTGGGTGTCAACGGGAAGTCGACCTTCTGATGTCACAAAGTCGTTCTGAAGTCCAACGAGAACAAGGGCTTGGTGTGTTTGGAATTTGGGTTGGTTTTGGGACACAAGGTCCATCAAAGACGCCATGTTGGAGTTCATCGTGTCAGGAACGCGAACGGCTAGGGTTGAACGCGGAAGCGACAAGTCTTGGCATCAATGCTAGTGAGCGGGAGATTGCTAGACAAGGGCTTCCTCAATACGAAAGCGAGCGGAAGGCAATGGTTAGG